ATAAATCTGTTTTATATTGTTTTCCTTAATACAGGATGTTGTTCGAAACTTAAAAGCGAAATCTGCTCAGGCTGATCTATGGTCCTCTCCACACTGAGGGAGGACCAGACTGGGAAATAAACCTATACTGGTCATGCTTTTGGCCAGGGCAAGATGGTACAGCTCTTGGGTTCTAGGCTGGGGAACTGGGGGGAACTGGCTGGAGCATCTCTATTGTTTCATGGATGGCTTGTGAAATCATTCATGTAACTGCAGTTGGGTGTGTCCCTGTCTGTGTATAGCTGTGTAAGAGCAGGACCTGAGAGGATTACATCTTGTCACAGCCTCACAGTATGAGAGGGGGCCAGATTGGTATGCCAGAGGAATCAGTGATCCCCAGTTCCAGGTTGCACTCTACGGAATTCCTTCCCCCCCCTCCCCGCCGCCCTAGTGAACAGGCCCTGCAAGACCGTAAGTCCATTTCCCTGTTGTCATGTGGTCACTTACTGACAGAGAGACCATGGTTATGGAAGGGAAGTCAAGACACTTGGTTTCTGTCAGTCAGTCTCTGTGTGACCTTGGGAAAGTCATGTCGCCCCGTGCTTCAGTTTACTGATCAGTGAAATGGGGATGGTTCATAGTGACATTCCTTTGCTAGGTTTTGAAGATCCATCAATGAAAGGTGCTACAGACTATAATGATCTCTGATCCCTTAGTGAAAGCCCCACGTATTTGCTGTAAGTGCTTGTGTATCCTCTTAGTCAAGTTTCTGCAGATCTCTCTGTCTCTTATCTACCCATCTATCCTGAGAATTTACAGGATATCAGATTTTCAGGAGAGTTAGGCATTATCCCTAGTTTTCTTACTCATTAACTATAATTTTTAAATACATATACAGAAACATACAGAGCAGCCAATTCCTCTCTGACTCAGCACAGAGTCCAAGAATTCTCATCTCCCTTTGGAAAGGTTTCTTAATTACTGTTTACTTCTTAAGCTGGATAATTAGCACCAAAGTGGAGACATGCTTGTCTCCAGTCTGTTTACGTTCAGATTCTCCCTTGTCCTCTAGAGGCTGAGCGAACCCCACTGAGAATACACAGAGCTATATTATCAACTGTGCCCACGGTGTGTTAGCTCTCAGTGTCGGATGATGCTGCAGATGCTGGATTCAGAGAGGTATAGGTCACAGATACCTGAGGGGGATTCCTAGGGAGGACACTTCCATCTCATAATTCACAGGTACCCATCTCTTGATGAGGAGCTCACCCGATCGACAATCCTTCTGCAACGTGGGTGTGGTGGGATAGAGAGTAAGTCTTTGATCCTTTCCGCTCCGAACAACCATGAAACATCCCAGGGTCCTTGACATAAGTGATGAGTTTGCTAAAGAATCACTGGCCAAAATGTCACTCTTTTCTGTGCACACCTGTGCATTCTGCTTGATGTCCTCCAGCCCCAAGGTTACTCTTGTTACCCTGCAAAGAAAGCTATGAGGTTGGTTTGACATGTTTTGTTCTTGAGAAATCCATGCTAACTATCACTTATCACTTCATTATCTTCTAGACGTTTGTAAATTGATTTCTTAATAAATTGCTACATTATCTTTCCAGGTACAGAAGTTAAGCTGACTGGTCGATAATTGCCTGTGTTTCTCTTATTTCCCTTTTTATAGGTAGGCACTATGTGTGCTCTTTTCCAGTCTTCCAGAATCTCCCTGTCTCCCATGACTTTTCAAAGATAATAGCTAATGGCTCAGATATTTCCTCAGTTAGTTCCCTCAGAGTATTCTAGGATACATTTCTTCAGACCTGGTGACTTCAAGACATCTAACATGTCCAAGTAACTTTTAGCTTGTTCCTTCCCTATTTTAGCATCTGAACCTACCCCATTTTCACTGACATTCTCTATGCTAGGTGTGCAAACACCACTAACAGTCTTCGTGAAAACCGAAACAAATAAGTCATTGAACAACTCTTTCATTTCCACATTTCTTCTTATTGTTTAGTAAAGGACCTACCCTGTCCTTGGTTTTCCGCTTGCTTCTAAGGTATTTGTAGAATATTTTCTTGTTACCCTTTTGTCTCTAGTTATTTCGAACTTTTGTGCTTTGGCCTTTCTAATTTTCCCCTATATACATGTATTATTTGCTTATATATCTCCTTTGTAATGTGACCTTGTTTCCACTTTTTGTAGGATCCTTTTTTGATTTTTAGATCATTCAAGATCTCCTGGTTAAGTCATTGCAGTCTCTTGCCATACTTCCTATCTTTCCTACGCAGGGGGATCGTTTGCTATTGTGCCCTTAATGATGTCTCTCTGAAAAAATACCTGTCTACTATAGTTTTTCCCCTTAGACTTGCTTCCCATGAGATCTTGCCTACCTACTCCCTGACTTTGTTCAATCTGCCTTCTTGAAATCCATTGTCTTTATTTTGCTGTTCTCCCTCCTACCATTCCTTAGAATCATAAACTCTGTCATTTCATGTATCAGATCGGTAGCCATGTTAGTCTGAATCTGAAAAAAGCAACAGAGGGTCCTGTGGCACCTTTAAGACTAACAGAAATATTGGAGAATAAGCTTTCGTGGGTGAATGCCCACTTGCATATGATGAAGTGGGCATTCACCCACGAAAGCTTATGCTCCAATACTTCTGTTAGTCCTAAAGGTGCCACAGGACCCTCTGTTGCTTTATCATTTCATGATCACTTTTCCCCAAGTTGACTTCCATTTTCAAATTCTCAGCCTGTTCCTCCTTATATGTCAAAATCAAGTCTAGAACAACCTCTCTCCAAGTAGGTTTCTCCAGCTTCAGGAACAAAAAATTGTTTCCAGTACATTCCAAGAACTTATTGGATAATCTGTGCCCTGGAGTAGACAGCATGAGATGAATTCTTCCATCGACCTAGCTACCACCTCTCGGACATTACCTGTGCTGAGGGGAGAACCCTTCCATCCGTGTAAGTAGTGTCTATAGTGAAGCACTATGGCACCACTGCTATAGCATTTTAAACAACCCTTCAAGCAGAACTTCCAGAAAAAAACATCCAGTCCGGATGTGCCAACATGGGGAATTGGAGAATCCAACACTTTCCTATTCAGTGTGTCCCAATGGTTAATCATCATCAGTGCTAAATATTTGGCCTTAATTTCAAGCTGGAATTTACCTGGCTTCAGCTTCCAGCCCTTCAGTCTCCCTCAGCCTTTGTCTGGTAGATTTAAGAGCTCATTATTATACATGATTTTCTGCACATGAAAGTCTCAATTCAATAATCTTTTTGATAAGTTAAGAGCTCTATACCTTCAAGTCTAACGGTCCATCTTTTTCTCTATCCTCCAAGAATTTTTGTGGGTCGTTCCTGCACCCTCTCCAAGTTTTCAACATCTTTTTTCAAATGTGGACCCCAGAACTGGATGCAGTTTATTTCACCAATCCCATGTGAAGAGCTAAAATCCTTCCCCTGCTCCAACTCACCAACTCAGTATTTTCCACTACTAAATCAAATGCCTCTGAGAAATTAAGGTTTGTTGCATCTGCCTCGTTCCCTTGATCCACCAAATGTGTACCCTTGCTCAACCAATGTGTACTCTCATAAAAGGATGAAATCAGGTTTATTTGACAAGATCTCTTTTGCATAAACCCTGTTGGTGAATGGCATTACTTACATATCAAGACTTTTTTTAACTAATCCCATAGCCACTTTTCCATTGTTTCTTAACCTTGTCAATTCTTTTATAAAAAAAACTTTCTTTTTATATTTCAGTATTTTACATTTAACACAGGAATTGACATAAATATTTTTGAGGATTTATCTTGTTCTTAATATATTTAATAAACTCCTTTTTGTGATCCATAACCCTGCAATACATGGTGTTTTCCCTGATGTCTTAACGTTTCTTATCAATTTTCTTAACTTCTGATTTCTAATGTTGGGTAGCTATTTCCCCTCTTTCCTCTTTGTTACATATTGCTTCCCTCCCTCTAATTGTTGCCTTCACTTTACCACAAAACTGAGTTTTTACCCAAAGTTGCTCACTTTGTTGACTCTGGAATCGTGAGTTTTCTGATATCTAATAAATGTTATCAAAGAATTACCAATATTCATTCACATTTTTCTGTCTAAATTTTTCCTCCCAATCAGTTTGGCTGACAATTTTCCTCAGCTTTAGGGAATTAGTCCTCTTGGAGCACTAAGTGTGTCTAGATTGTATTTGTTGGGAACTGTCCATTTGAATGTAAATCGGTTTCATTTTTTATTTTCCTCTCCTATATCATATGCTCTCACCTTTGTCTCTTGTATAATCTAAAGACTCCCAGACTTTTAGATCCTTAATAGAGACTGGGTGACCAAAACTGAACACATTCCCAAATATGTTATGCTCCATCCCATATCTTACGGATCTGAGCATTTCTTTTATTTTGTCCACTACTGTGAATGAGCAGGTGTTTTTCTTGAACTGCTATCAATGGTGTCCAGGTCTTTTCCCTGAGGTATGTTCTAGTTGGGATGTTTCTCTCAGCACATATCTGTGCAAAACTTTGTTTTTTTCCCCTCTCTGATTTCGAGGAACTGGATGAATGGCGGAATTCCCTTCATTATGGACTCCCTATCCTGATTCTCATTGAATTAAGGAACAATGATGGATAACCAGTATCCACACTTGTGTTTTCTGCTGGTGCCTCTTAAGGTTCCCCCACCACAATGTGTACGAATTATTAATGCAGGGAGCACAATACAAATATGGAATTGGATTTAGTAGGGTCATTGTTCACAGTTATTCTCTCTGAATAGTGAAAATGTCATTTTTCAGGGTGTGAAGAGTGATCAACCTGCTTCTCCCATGAAAACAGCCTCCACTACTGCATGCAGTGTCTCATATTAATGTTGTCTCTCCATGCAGGCATTTCAACTGTGACCATCACCCAAGATTCTGGGAACACACAGAAAGTCAGGGGAGCATACAGTAAATGCAGAAGACACCCTTATGCTTCAGAGTTGGGTACTTTCTCCCCTACGCCATGTCAGATTCTAACACAACCGACTTCACCAATCCCTCCACCTTCATCCTACTTGGTATTCCTGATCTAGAGGAAGCCCATATCTGGATCTCCATTCCCTTCTGTACTATGTACGCCATAGCTGTGTTGGGGAACTTCACCATCCTGTTCATCGTGAAGAGGGAGTCAAGCCTCCACGGGCCCATGTTCTATTTCCTCTGCATGCTGGCCATCAGTGACCTGGTCATATCCACATCCACCGTACCCAAAATGCTGAGCATCTTCTGGTTCAATTCCAGGGAGATCAGTTTCAGTGCCTGCCTCACCCAGATGTATTTTGTTCACTCCTTCTCAGGGATGGAGTCTGGAATCCTCGTGGCCATGGCTTTTGATCGCTACGTGGCCATCTGCAATCCCCTGAGATATTCAACGACCCTGACAAACTCCGTTGTGGCCAAGATAGGCCTGGCGGTGGTGCTGCGAAGTGGCATACTTGCATTACCCTATCCCTTTCTGGCGAGGCAGTGGCCATATTGCAGAACCAACATCATCCCCCATTTCTTTTGTGGACATATAGCTGTGGTGAATCTGGCCTGCGCTGACATCCGCATCAGTAGTTACTATGGCCTGTTTGATCTTTTCTCTGTGATCGGAATGGATGGGTTTTTTATCGCCATGTCCTATACTCAGATCCTCAGGGCCATCTTCCGCCTCCCCACGAAGGATGCCCGGCTCAAAACTTTTGGGACCTGCATCTCTCATGTTTGTGCCATCTCAGTCTTATACATCCCAGATATATTCTACTCTCTCATTCAGCGGTTTGGCCACAATGTGCCACTGAATTTACGCATTCTCCTTAGCAGTGTGTACCAAATGGTGCCCCCGGTGCTACATCCCATCATTTACGGGGTGAGGACCAAACAAATCCGGGGCAGGCTGCTCCAGCTCTTTACTCATAAAAAGATCTAATTGTTTTCTCCTTGTACTCTGGCTGTCAGATTGAGCTCTGTGCAGAGCTGGCTGGTGCCTGGTGCTGGGGCCTCTTCCCTGATTCACTTCCTGGACAGTCAAAGTGAGATTAAACCCTTTCCTGTCCTTACTGTGCTGTGTCAATGTGATGAACTGGGGAATCAGTCTATGTACACGACACTAGTTGTGACCTTTCTAATTGCTCTTAGCTGGATGCCTGAAATTGGAATCTTGCCCCATCTCCTCTGTGAAGCCTCGACAATGCTGTGTGTCTTCTCCCCAAGGCACTGCTCCATCACTTTCTCCTGTCTTCCCCTCCCCTTGTCAGCTGTGACCCAGTCATCTCTAAAACCAATATGTTCTCACATCTGGCAAGTCAATTAAGGGTTAAATTTTTAATGTTTATTCTTACTTTGTTACTAACTCTGTGGAGGTAGAGTCCCCATCAGGACTCCTGGCTGACAAAGCCCTGGCTGGGATGATTTAGTTGGGGAATGGTCCTGCTTTGAGCAGGGGGTTGGACTAGATGACCTCTTGGGTTCCTTTCCAACCCTGATATGCTATGGTTCTATGATTCCTGGGATCTATCTCAGTTCGGTGAGGGGGATGGGGTATAGTGTCTTACAGCAGGAGGTAGATACATCTGGGGTCTAACTAAGCAGATCAGAATGGCCATTCCGGGTAAAACCAATGGTTTATGTAGCCCAGTAGCCTGTCTTCTGACAGGGCCCAGTGCCAGGTGCTTCAGAGGGATTGAACAGAACATGGGAATCACCATGTGATTCCTGTGGAACAGGTCAGCAGAAGGGGGCAGAAGCCCTGAATCTGGGCAGTCTCAGACTCAGCTGGCAGGAGTTCAAGCCTCCTGCCCCAGTAGGAGCGTCTGGAGGAGGGGAAGAGCCCAGGCTGCCCCGGATGGAGTGGCAGAAGAATCTGTCAGTTCTGGCTTCCCTGAGCCCCAGCTGCAGCCACAGAGCGGAGGCAGGGGGAGAGAAGCCCTACTCATTTCTGTCTCCTCTACCTTCCATACTGCTGCCAACCAGGGGTTGTCTCATTTCCCCGGTCCTTAGATGAACCTCAGGGGGTAGTCTTTATGTCTCCCCACCCTTTAGGAGCTGCTCACTTCCCTCCTCTCCCTTACCCTTTCTGGAGATATAAGGAGGTTCACGGCACCACTGGTATTGTTGCCGCACCGGTGGTGTGCTCCATCTATGCTCATTTCCGTGGACTACAGGATCATAACAAGGGCCCTGCCAAAGGATCATCGTGGGTCCACGACATTGTCCCACACTGTTCTGAGGGATGAGCTTCACCATTTTCTGCTGGACCCCTGTGATTTCAAGGGTAAGGTGAAGCTCCCTCTCGAGCGTTGGAGAGAATTCCATTTAGTCTTCTGGGTCACAAGGGCTGTTTTGGAGGAGTGGCGGGGAATGGTGTAGACAATGGTGTACAGAGGAGGGGTTTAGATTTATTAGGAACTGGGGAAACCTTTGGGATAGGGGGAGCCTGTACAGGAAGGATGGGCTCCACCTAAACCAAAGTGGATCCAGATTGCTGGCACTTAACATTAAAATCTTGCAGAGCAGTTTTTAACCTAAAAGATGGGAGAAAGCCGACTGCTGCAGAGGATCACATGGATCAGACACACACTTCTCTTAGAGGAGAGTCTATTGATAGAGATTCTGTAGGTTCTAGTCAGGAGGAGAGGATGGAAGAGGATAAACTATGGGCCAGATCAGAAGAGAAACATTCACATAAAAAGAATCTGACATATCCGAAAAAGGCAGACAAATAAACACTGACAAGTTTTTCAAGTGCTTGTACACAAATGCTAGAAGTCTAAATAATAAGATGGGTGAACTAGAGTGCCTTTTATTAAAGGATATAATAGGCATCACAGAAACCTGGTGGAGTGGGGACAATCATTGGGACGGAATCATTCCGGGGTACAAAATATATCGGAAGGACAGAACAGGTCGTGCGGGAGGTGGGGGGCGGTACTATATGTGAAAGAAAATGAGGAATCAAATGAAGTAAAAATCTTAAATGAATCCAAATGTTTCATAGAATCTCTATGGATAGTAATTTCATGCTATAATAAGAATATAGCAGTAGGGATCTATTTTCGACCACCTAACCAGGACACTGATAGTGACTATGAAATGCTAAGGGAGATTAGAGAGGCTATCAAAATTAAGAACTCAATAATAGTGGGGGATTTCAGTTATCCCCATATTGAGTGGGAACATGTCACCTCAGGACGAAATGCAGAGACAAAATTTCTGGATACTTTAAATAACTGCTTCTTGGAGAAGCTGGTATGGGAACCCGCAAGGGAAGAGGTAACTGTAGGTTTAGTCCTGAGTGGAGCGCAGGAGCTGGTCCCAGAGGTAACTGTAACAGGACTGCTTGGAAAAACATAATAATGGGAGTTGCTGAGGTCATGCCAGGTCAGCAGCTGCACCTCCAGGCCAGTGTGGAGGGGATGACATTGAATCTGTTCAATGTCTAACCCCTGAATGCAGTCCCGTAGTGGGTGTGTTTCTATCAACAGGTGTCTGCCTTCCTCTGCACTTTGGATCCTCACGAGTGCTGGGCCTTGGTGGAGATTTTAATACCATCTTTGAGGACCAGAATCACACAGGGATTGAGAGCGGCCAGGCTGCTGCAGGCATCCTCAGAGAGATCATCAATCATCACTCCCTGCTGGATGTCTTGCACGACCAACACCCGGATGAGAATTCCATCTTTACAGACGTCCAGATGGAGGTCGATCAGTTGCACTACTCCTGGTTGGGCGTCATGTATGTACTTTGTTTCCATCTTGCCCAGGCCCACTCCTCCAGCATTTGACTGGCCCAGTTCTCGCCCACCATTTAATGGCCACAATGGCCTCTCTCATCTAGGAGCTCACCTGGGGCTCTTCAGAGCCCCCTGCACATACTCCAAGAGGTGGGGCCACCATATTGCCTACTGCTCGGGTTTACCTTGAAAGGGTCATACAAGAGGGTGCTCCCCACCCAGCCCTCACCCCAGTACCTCTGGATTTTTTGATTGGGTTCCTGCCCATGAGTCTCCCTGGTTCCCTCCCTTTCATAACCCAAACCAGCTGAACACCCTGCAGCTGGTTCACTTCTGAATTCCACAAAGGGAAAAACTTTACAGGCTCATGCTCCAAACACTTCACTTCCTCAAATGCCCTGATACCAAGTGGCAGGAGCTAGTATCACCTTGAGACGGTGATGAACCCCGGTGGGCCACAAAGTACTCCACCCTGATCCCATTGCCCACTGGGGATATCGGTTGATGGCTCCTTCATGGAGCCATGAGCACAGGCATGTACGTGGCACAGTTCACCCCCATTCCAGATGCCTGCCCATTTTGTGGCATGAGGCAGACCCTGGCACACGCCTATCTAGAATGTGCAAAGTTGCAGCCCCTATTCCAACCCCTCCACAACTTTAACGGGAGGTTCTGACTGCACTTTCCCCCACACCTTTTCATATATGCTACCTGCTTTAGCTCAACATACAGTATGTTGCCTGCAGGTCCCTTGTCTTTCAGGTGAAGTATACTCTAATATAAATCTGTAAACTTATTAATAAAACAAATAATCAAACCCTACGAAAATGAGAATCTTATAAGAAAATATATATAGGCACCAAGTAGGCTAGACTGTAGGTTACCATAGCTGCAGGCTGCTAGTTGGTAATGGCCACGGACTTAGTATTGACAGAGAGAGGGAAGCACATGTGTGTGGGGGTGACTTACAAAGGAAAGAGAGAGCTGGACCTAAATGCACCAGGAAAGAGAGAGAGAGAGAGATGGGACGAAACCCACTAGAACAGGGACTCCCTGTCTCTGCCGTTCTGGGGAGCACTTTCCAAGGGAGACACAAACTCTCTCCCTGACCCCAAACAGGCACTGTGTGTGCCAGAAACATTTCCCTCAGGGAAGCCCGGCTGGATCAGTTCTGGAACGAGAGCACTTGGGGAAGCACAGATGGCAGAGGAGCCACATTTGGGTGAAGAAAATAACTTGTGGCACTTTCCTGGCGTGGCCCATTCCCCTTCCACATCGGTGTAGCAACTTGAGGTTTGTTGTCACAGCCCTGCTCAAGCTCGTACACCTGGACACTCACGAGTTAAGTGTGTTTGGGGCCCACAAACAAGACCCATGCCTCTGGCTCTGGGTTTCTAGGCCCACTCTCGCAGTGCAGCTTCCGTTCTAGTGCCTCCATCTGGGAGCAGAAACCTGCACACCAAGCACTAAAGCCCTGAGGCTGGCTTTGGCTCGGCTCCCCCAGACTCTTCAATTGCTTCAGCCCATGCTTCCCTCAGCTCCCCCTTGGGTGCACTCTGTTTCCAGTTTCTCCTTTTTGAGTCTCATGATCGCAAAAGGAAACAGCCCCAGGCCTTGAAAAAGGGGTTGTGTGACGTATGGCCAGAAAGACTTAAGCAACTTGCAGTCTATTGACCCAGATTGACCCTTTAGAGACAGGTTAGACAAGTATGTAAATAGTAATTAGGACCATTCCACCTTTAATAGGATAGAGCTTTGAAATATGGACTTGTATTATTAAAGAACTGGAAGAAGTTAGTGACACTAATAGTCTCTGTTTACTGACAGCTTGTTAGAATTTAGCAGTGTAACCAAACGATTCCTATCTAGAGCTGTATTCGATTAATTCAGAGATGAAAAGGAAATAATATTAGATGGAACTTGGGTGCAATAATCTCATTTTCTTTATGTCTCTTTAAAGTTTCTTGTGAACTCTCTATAAACTGCTTAATGGATAATAACCTTATGTTAATCCACGTAGTTAATTACCAGTGATGTTTAGGAAATAGAAGGTTACTTCAAAAGCCTATTGTTCACTCAAGTACTGCTGTGCTGCCCACGAACTGTATAAAGGGCTCTTGGAACCAGATCCTTTTTACCTCGGATCTGCTTAAGCATCATCAGGGGAAGCTTGAGTCACAAGACTCTGGTCTCCAGTT